ATGAAAATCTGAGGATCAGCAGTGAAATCGGTGGGAAGAAAAAATTCACCCGGTACCCTTATGCTTGTACCATAAAGAAAATCCGCAGGGAAAGCACCTGTGTCACTTCTTACTGCCGTACGCAGACTAAGAAGCACTGTGGGAAAAAGCTTGATTCAATCTGCATCATTGTGACACATCACGGCCGCCTTAAGGCTACAATGCCACCGCTCAATCATGCCATTAGCAACAGAATGATAAGCCACCGTTCTTTTTCTCTGACAACCGAGAAAAGAAAGATAGGCTTGGAAGAGCTGTGACTTGAATTGCGATCCCTGGTCGGTGGTCAAAAATCTGGGTGCCCCAAAGCGAGCGACCCAGGATTCCTGAAACGCTCGAAGAACCGTCGTAGTGGACATGTCCTTAAGAGAAACAGCCTCCACCTACCTAGAGGATCTGTCAATCATCGTGAGAATATAAGAGTAGCCTTGGGAAGTGTTAAGAGAGCTAACCAAGGTATCCATATGGATATGGCGAAACCGATCATCTGGAGTGATGAATTGTAAAGGCTCGTTTTTGATATGTCTGGAAATTTTTGATTTCTGGCAATTGAGACAACCTTTACACCACGCGGCAATGTCTTTGTGCATATTTGGCCACACGTACTTTTTCTGATAAGCTGATCAGTGACTTTAGTAACCGGGTGAGATGCGGGGTGAGTTAAATCAAAAATTCTTCTACGTAGAGATTTTGGAATAAAAGGATGAATTATCTTACCGGTGAGATCACAATAAAGACTAGTGTGGCTGTGATCCAATTCAATGGATTTCAGTTTGAGAAAATGGGCAGAAGATTTCTACAGCTCTGAGAGCTCAGAGTCAAGTTGTTGCTCCTTGGCTAATTCAGGAAGCTCTAACTCACGAGGAAGGCGAATGACTGCTACTCTAGAGTGCATCAGCCACAACGTTTGACAAACCTGGCAAGTATTTGATGACAGTAGTGAACTACGAAATAAAGCAAAGCTGTCTACTTTGGCGAGGAGAGGCCTTGTCAGACTTTTGAATAAACGCGTAGATCAAGGGTTTATGGTCAGAAATGACCTTGAAATTACGACCCTCTAAGAAATGCTTGAAATATTTAATAGCTTCATAAATCCCCGTGAACTCACGATCGTACGCACTGTAGTTTCGTTGAGCTTGGCTAAATTTTCTAGAAAAGAATGCCAGGAGCTTCCAGTCTCCTTCGAAGAGTTGCTTAAGGGTAGCACCCATGGCAACATCAGAAGCATCTGTAACGAGACGTGTTTCTGCATCAGAAGATGGATAGACCACGAGAGTAGCCTCAGCCAAGTGACTCTTGGTGGTTTCAAAAGCTTGATTGGCTTCTGGAGACCAGTCAATGACTCTCTAATCGATTTTCTTTGAATCAGCCGTGTAATCAAAGAGAGGGTCCTGTAAGGAGGCTGCCTGAGGAAGCCAATGACGATAAAAGTTGACCAGCCCTAGGAATCTGTGAAGATCTGCAATCGTGAGCATGCGTGGAGGGTGGAGTCGGTACTGCAGAGCTCTGAGTCCCTACTTGACCGATACAGTGGGTCAAGAGTCAAGGATCTTTTATTTAACCTTGTTATGAATAGTTTACCATCATTACTTTAACCCACTACAGGCTGATAAAAATACTTAATTTTTTAATTTTAACAGTACATTATTTGTTAGAAATTATTGTAAGAAATATTTGTTGGGGAGTCAATTAAACGTCACATGGCCCTAAAAAGGACAATAAGATAGTTGGTAGTTTGGTGAACGTAAGAATGTATGATGAGGCCTTTTCAGGGTCAGTGGTGCTACTTTCAGTCAGAGGTTGATAATACTTTTACCAAATATGGCAGCCCAAACCCCTCAAGGTTGTTTTCTCTGGTTTGCAGTTGTAGCACAAGGTATTTGGGCAGCACAATAAGGAATGCCTTTTTTGTGGCACTTGATCATCTTGGCGTTCCAAGGTGGAAATTGGCGTAGGTCATTTGCTCATTGGAAGCATTTAGAGTATCATCGGTAGCTGAAATACCCAGCTATACAACAAATAGCTCTGTTCCTGACGTACTGCTGACATACTGAATCGATATTCTGCTCGGTAATATTTTTGCCAGATTTACTGACTTTGATTGCAAGTGGTTTTGATCGATATTACTTTTTGATTTATTTCGGCTTACTTCGACACTACCTAATAAATTCAATTGGACTAAAGCGCAGAGCTAGAGTTATTTTTTAACTTTTAACTCATTATTGCTATTGTTAATAATTTATTTAAGACAAAAATCATACGAAAATCACCTAGGAAGTATCAAGAATTGGTATACAGAATTTTAGCAAAATCAGTTGAGTAGTTTTTGGAGTTAGCGATTACAACGTTTTTTAGGACTTTGCGTTATACGTTGGTGAGATGTAAAATAGAATAGAGTTGTTTATTTAATTTTTACTATTTAATACTTTTTAAATTTGAATATTGTCCAATCGAAGTGTTAATAAGATAAAAATGAATTTTTAGTTCAAATAACAATTGAAAAATAAAACAATAGAAATCAACTAACGTATTAAAAAAACCTTTAGATAGGTCTTGACAAAGGCGTTAGATAGAAAACAAATTAAATGCAAAACCATTGCATCACATTAGGTGCAATTTCATACCCAATTGTATGCCTTTTTCCTTATACGTATATCTCACAGCCATGTTAGGTCTTTCTACAAATCCTATTCAGCTCTGCTATACTGATACTGTGCATTAGTATGCTATCGTTATTCATACAATGAAAAGTTGGTGGAGATTTACCATGAATTATTGACTTTTACAGTTAGTGGGATTGATATTTTACATGGATTTTAAGACAAACGGATCGCGGTTAAAAGTATTCACATTAGACAGGCGGAACTAATAGAAAAACGTAAAAATTTTCGACAGTTCCTAATGAAGGTACAAACTTTTTTTTTAAAGACCTTAGTAGGGCAAATTAATTAAAATACTTTTCGTAGCACAATATTCTCAGTTAAAGTGCTTAAAAAAAAGAAAAAATAGTAAAAACCAGTTTTTTGTGTCTAGAGCAAAAACTGCTGCTCCAACAAAATAAAGTTGAGAGTATCAAATGTGCGCTATAAACCACAAAGAGAATGACCCCTTTATTAGCAAAATTGGCTCAGTAGATCGCCTGTAAATGGCGCTATGGCCTCCTTTTTTTTGAAAAATTAGTTAATTTAATAATTCACTGTTTAATAATGCTACAAAGTTGAAATTTAATTGTGTTGTCAATATTGTGGTCTTAAAACTATAGTTAATTTTTAGATATAATGTTCTAAACTTTTTTCAAACCGTTAACATTTGCAAAACAATGACCTTTTTTTAATTTGACTTAAAGGGAGTTAAAGTTTTCGAAAAGGATTCTAATTTCAGTTCCTATGGGTTAAGCAAGACTTAATCTGACAATCTCTTGATCCTCAGATCATTAGAAAAATCCACCTTAATCAATCAAGAAAAAACAGATACTTTTTGCACGAGTGGAGGCAACGCACAGTCAGCATAGGCCAGTCAACGGAGCTCTATAATAGAAAACAGATGGTCCACAGATTTTTTTAAGGTTATACGTAATTTGGATCGTTGATAACGCAAAAAATAACAAAATAGTTGTTTAATTATTTGGACAGTGACAACGTTGTTCTTAGAACTTCATTCTTCTGTATCTCGTTGACGATAACAAATGTAAGGCTCTTTATCGTTATTAAAATACTTATCATTCTATAAACATTTTTTTTTTGTAAAAAAATGATTTTTGGCGATTTTCAGGTAATTCGCTGGTCCAACTCCACTCATTTAATACTCATAACTTATTTTCTTGGGAGGTATGGTTTTTTTCTAGACAAAGAAACTAGCTTCTGCCATTTTTTTCTTTTCTTTTTCGGCTTTTTACATGACAATATTGAGCTAGTAAAAGTATTTTAATTAATTTTGTATTACTAAGTCTTCCAAAACAGTTTTTCTGCTCCAATAAGAATTGTATTAGCTAAAAATGTAATTTTACCTTTCTACGTTTAAATTAGTTTCTTGAAGATGCAAGCCAATAAGGCTGAATCTTAAACTCATGAGCTCCTGAGCTACAAGAATTGCAGCCCGAATCACTGAACTATTGTGGCTGCTAATTTTCACTATTCCACATAAATAAAATAACTTAATGAAACTTGATACTACAATGTTGAGTCAGCAGGTTCAAAAAGAAAGCATACGATAATTGAAAGCAAATCAACAGGCGGTTCTTAACAAACAAGAATCAAATTATTTCTTTATAAAATGAATCTACAAGTTTTGCCCTTTATGTGAAAGTTTGAATGTAGTGTGGTATTTTTCATGTGTTGGATTTGAAATTCAGAAGGCAGTTATAAGGATTACATTTCACTATTTATTATCTCACTTTAAGCATAGTAAAGTTTTTATCCACGCTAAATTACAAAAGTTATTAAGTGTTACGTAAAGAGAATCGTCTAGGAAGACGTTTGCAACTAAATTTTTTTATTTCCTAGTGCCTTTTTTTTTTTTTTTTTTCTTTTCTTTTTTTATCAAAAACTGCCAAAAAAAATTACTTTGATTGATTCATCACTAAAATAACCTTTTGATTGTTATAATGATAATACATGTCACAGCATAATACAGGCCAAGAGGTTTTAGCATCTAAAAAATTATGTCCATTATTGAAAATGAATGTAGCTATCTTATTTTACCATGATTAAGTCATTTGTAGTGTCAAAGTTAATATGATCTCAAAAATAGTTGAAATGCCTCATGATTACGGATTTTCATCTATCTTTAGAGTATCAGATACATATTGAATACAGTTATAATATATATGCATTTAACTTTTACAAGGTCTTTTTTTCTAGAAGGATCTATAACTAAGACCATAAACTATCGCTGGATAGTCATTCAGAAAAGAAAAAGTATAAATTGTATCGAAATAATATTACAGAAGTAGTAATACGTACCTATAAGGTTGTTTGTTATGGATTTGTAAAGAAAATAATTTAAAAAGTATGACATATCTACATACTCAGACAGTTTAAATGGATCTTGTTTTTCATACATTTCTACATCATCTAAAATGCTATCAAATAAGAAAGTACTTTAAAAAAAGTCTATTAATTAATCATATATTATATTAATACTTGAAATACGTACGTTATGAAATGTGCCATACAATCACAAAAAAGAATTAAAGTCTGCAATTCAATGGAAAAATTATCCATGTTAGATGGTAATTTATCTAAAAAAGTTTTTAATCCATGAGTTGGTCCTAAAACTTCTAAGAGCGACCACATTTTGTGCAATATATCCTTATTCTTGTAACAAAGCCCTTAAAAAAAGGCAGAAACATTGTTTATTAAAAACAGAGTAATTAAAATAAAGCATAGATACCTGTTAAAATAGCTGATCTCATTTCTCGTAAGGTCAAGTATGCCACGTAATATAAAGAGCAGACAGAAAATATATTGACTATTTTTAGCGCACAAGGTTGCTTTGAACTTTTAATTTTTTTTTGTTTTTTACGCCACTTCGGAAAAGTCCAACGCATTGTGTTTACACTATATGCTGAATATCTAGAACGCAGTTGAAAAAAGTATTCTTCTAAGAAAATGTCTAAGGGCTTACCTAAAACAAGAAATTGTTTTGAATACTTACGCATACATATACACCCATACATACATTTATTATGTTTGATATTTGCATAAAATATTTAAAATTAGTAAACTAAGCATATACATTTGTCGAGCTGAATAGCTTTGCCATCAACGCTGCCAGTACTTCTCAGATGGTTCTCCTTCCCCTCTCTCTCAGCCGTTGCGCGCGGCAGTCGCGCAAGCTCACGACGAGACGCGCAGTTCAGCTAAGTCAGTTCTGAACCGCCCATGCTACCGCTAACACCGTTAAGTCATTATAAATCAGAATACGAAACCTACAGAGTGGCATTATAGAGAGGCTGTGTGGTTTTATATTGAATTCAATAAATAAAGTTAAGGAGTTGATACTCTCTTCTGTAAGTATTCATTTAACCTTGTGCCCTGGCCATTTATTCCATACCTTTGATTACATTACTATCTTATTAAAATATTAGCAGGATTTATTAACAAAACTATTGTTTCTTCATATTTTTTGATTAAGAAGTTAAATAATTATTTGATAAATTCTTATGAGAAACAAAAAAAAATTTTAAGATCAAATCCAGCCAGAGCAATTTCAAAAATCTGGTAATCGCCCAACAGAAGATGCACATCAGTTGCAAAGGCACTTTTTTTGCCACGAATCCAAAGTACATCAAACCTTTTTTCCGTTGACAAAAAAACGTGTTGTTCGCAAGTTAGGCACGAATGTTTGGAAACTTCACCCTTCGGGTGCGTTATCTGTAGCTTGTGCCTATGGTACAAAATTTATTTAAATGAAAGAATTCAGTTTCGCCCATTTCCAATGAGGATCCTAAAAAATATATTTTAGCTAAATATATTATGGATAATAAACCGTTATCAGTAATTATACCAATGATATCAGAGTTAAGGAGATATTCTAGTGTAATAAGCTAATAAAGTTTTCAAAGCAGGTGTTCGTATGTCTATCAATGTGATATCACTAGAATAATATAAATATACTAGTGATCTTCAAGAGAGTGAGCAGCAAAACGCAGGACAGTAGCTGATTGGCTATCACGACCAATAAGATTAACACAGGATTCCTCTCGTTATTTGTTGCCAAGTATATGTATAGATATTTACACCATGTAGATTTTGCAACAAATGGCTGTGGTTTTGCTGCTCACCCTCTTGAAGCTCACTTAGCTATAATTTCAGCATTATGTTTAATTTGGTTAACAAATTTTATGTTCTATTTACATGTTATGACGTTGTTAGCAAATTAATTGAGTTTTTTTTTTTTAGCTATCACTTACAGAAGTATTTTCAGCATAAAATAAAAACAACATATTTTTCTTGTTTTTTTTTTTTTCATACACTCACTAATTTTTGTTAAGATTTATTTTTTACGTTTTGAGATGTATTATAATTAACAAAATTTTGACTTTTTCCGTAAGACTGCACGTTAAATATTTCTCCTCAGTTAAGTAACAACATCTTTTTTACATGACAACGTTCGTCATTTCCATTCGAACACATTTTTCTTACTTCACAACATATACATGACAGACAAACTTTCACATATTTCACTTTAAAAATAAAAGCTTGATCCATCCGGAACATCCTCCCCCCCGTACAAACATGACGTTTGTACCATATATTAAAACTGAATAATGTGGTAGGGGTATGAATGATTTCATAGAGTCGAACAATTTAAACTTAAAATCATGATAAATTATAAATAGTCTACAATTTAAGAGTGGGTTCATTTGATTCGTAGAAAACAAATTGACTTCAAAAGATGAAGTCTTTCATTCAATAACTTAAAATATGCCAAGACAATCGCCTCACAGCTAACCGTCCGCAACAAGCCTCGACGCTTGTTACTCCGTGCCCCTAGGATCTACAGGGGATGTGCTCCCAATAACTCTCAGAGTTTTCGTAGCACTACAGCTCACACAAACGACATCTTTTAATCGTGAGTGTTAAAATGACTGTCTTTGCAAACACTTTCCAATTTTTTAAATAATACAAAATTTCTCATTTTTAATTCAGATGTCAACAGATATCAATTCTTTTAAATAAAATTTATTTCAAACAACAATCCATCGTAAATCAGAGACTCCTTGGTGAGTATCACTGCCAATCAAGCCACAGATTGATCTGACTTTCGATCTCTCTGTCCGAGTGCCAACCACATCCAAACAAAAAAAAACTTCTTTTGAAATAACCATTTGAATTAAGATAGTTCTAAAAGATTGTAATAACAAAAGTCTAAATTTGAGAAATTCAAGAAAGAGAAGCCATTTTTTTTATTAGCTGTAATAATCAAGTTCTGGAACATTCCGACTATGATTAATCAAAGATAAAAAAATGAAAAAAATGCTTTTTTGTTAGTACTAAATGTGTCACAATCGTATCATATTCATACTGCAAAAACAAGCATCTAAACTTCATGTGCATTCATATGTTCATCTCATGTCCTAAGCAATACACCCTACAATGAATGTTTGTTCTAAACTATACTAAATTGACAACTAGAAGTTGTAGAATCAAACAACAGACAATTTTGAAAATCTCGAAAATATCATTAACTAATGTGCTAAACCTACAAGAGAAGACTTTGCTCGAATGAGGTCAACTAATACGGCTTCCGATCAAAAAAATCTCAACCTCTCTTACGATAGGATTCATCTCGCCAGCACTCTCAGACCTTCACTGCTCGAGAAGCACATCTCTGCCGTCGCGATCTGGGTCGATCCCAGAATAGATGTCTGGGTCCTTCACAGCTCGGGGTGCGCTCCCTTGCCGTCGCGTCGCGAACCCGGTATTTTGTATCACGTGACCAATGACTGGCCCGGCCTCCCCCGCCATGCGTTTACCAACCATGTTCACGGTGGATCACCAGTTAGTGACACGGCTGACGAGACTATCATACTTAAAGCAAATCTGATTTATGCTCATAGACAATCAATTTAAATTTACGTATCCGTTTGAATTAAATGCAATCACTCAAGGTTACAATGTGTACAGTACTCTCGTTATAAATACTCAAAACGTGACAGTAGCAGAACATTTTTTTTTTAAAGACGCATGAAAAAAGGTAATTATGTTACCAACTAGTAACTTAATGATGTAGGAGATGCAATACAATACATTGCACCTTTACATAGTCGGGTAACAATGTTACTCGCACGCTTGTCTCACTTTTATACTTCTGCACAATAAAGACGAATAACGTGGTGTATACGATCTGAATATAGCTGCAGAAATATGACTTGCAGAAAAAGAATACAACATGCACAAACGCAAAGTTGCTCAGAAAAATCAGGAAAATAAAGAGATAAACAACGTGGATATGGCGTGCGCAAACGCACTGCCGCTTACCAAGATCAGGACGATGAGGAGACGGCGTACGCGAACACACTGCTGCTTAACAGGATCAGGACGACGAGGAGATGGTGTGCGCGAACGTACTGCTGCTAAGCAGGATCAGGACGACGAGGAGATGGTGTACGCGAATGCACTGCCGTTAAGCACACGGAAAGAAATTTTAAGGCGTAATGCTAACATTGAATTTCTGTACAAAACGTCTTCAAAAAATTGAAACTTAACGCAACATAATTAAAGACAACATGATACAATACTTATTACAAGTGCTACGTCTCGACTTCAGCGGCGATTTGACTATAGAGGCGGAGGCGCTACGTCACAGCTCACATTATGAACACAGCGTGGCAGTATTAGTGGCGACACGCTAAAAGAGACAACGGCAGTAGGCTTAGGAAAATGTTACGAGCTCTGCGTCACAACTTTAGCGGCGTTTTGCTTACAGAGACAGAGACGCTACGTCACAACTTACGCTACGAACATAGCGTGGTAGCATCAGTGGCATTGCGCTGCGAGTGTCATCGGCAATAAGCTATCATACATGGTACCAGCTCTGCGTCGCAGCTTTAGTGGCATTTGGCCTACATAAATAAAGACGCTCAGCTTAGATGTTTTAATGAAACATTGCGTGATAAGAGTGTGACAAAATTTTTTCAGGGTATAAATGTCAAAATTATTAATGTATGTTTATAGTTTTTTTATGAAAATTACGAACAAAACCAGGATATTTCTTGTGGTGTTCCCAATATATACATCTACATTTAAAATAATCTACACCTCAAATTATTTTAAACGGATATGTTGGGACACTGTCAATTATCACTGGAAAACTATACGATAAAAGTTATCCTGAGAAAAGGGAGAAAATATAGTGAATGACAGAAAAATAAGGTACCGTCCAAACATTACGCCAGTTTCACAGTGAAAATTACTGTAGTTCTCTTCTCCATATAGCTCGTACTAAGGTGTTTGTTGCATTGATCTCACATTTTATTGATTTACGTACTAATCAAGTATAACAGTGAGTTTCGCAGTAAAATTTTTATGCACTTTGGCACTTTGTGTTGGTAGTATAGAAACTATTACGTTTTAACACAACTACCAGGCAGTTATTAGATAGTTTATTATGAAAAAAGTAAAGTGTTTGAGCACTAACATTTCAGATAGTAAGGGATTTTTTTATTGATTTATGTTAAAAGTTATTTAAACTATGTATAGCTTCATTTTATTTTTTCTCGTGCAAAATTCCGGTAAATTTGGTACGCAGCGCTCACTTAATGCTTCCTACCCTAATGTTTTTGGCTTTGCTAACGTTACGCTACTAATGCAGACGTGATTTAAGGATTTAAGATTTAGCAGTGATTTAACCATGATTTAAATCTTAAATCACAAAAAAAAATTTATTTTTCTGCTCAAATAATAGTGAGTTACAGTGTTTTACAGTATTAAAGTATCAGT